GATGTGGGACTCGATCCCGGGACTCCAGGATCATGACCTGAGCCGAAGGCAGTCGCTTAACCAACTGAGCCACCCAGGCGCCCTAAAATGAGCTATTTTTCATCAGGATTCTTTGGAAATACTCTATTTACTTCTGAGAGTGAAACGTCATTCAACATTTACTGAGTGTTTTCAGTCTTATCTGCTCTTCTAGTGAATTACAGGTCCTTGTAAGGAAGGCATTATTTTGTTTTTACAAATTAGGGAAAAGTTTAAAATAACTGGTCCTGATCTCCAGCCAAAGTAGAGAGCAAGAATTTGAATCCAGGTTATATGTCTGGGACCATTTGTTCTTAATCCATACTGTATGATGTCTTGTAAATTAGATTTGGGACGGAAGTTTGTTAAGAAAAGATTTCTTGGGTGACAAATTCATCACATTCTGACTGGTGGCCCCAAGTGGTGAAGTATGTATATACTGCAAAAAATGTATCTTTCCACTTCTTACCAGTGGATTTTTTTTTTCCATACAGGTGAATATGACCATCTCCCAGAACAGGCCTTCTATATGGTGGGACCCATTGAAGAAGCTGTGGCAAAAGCTGATAAGCTGGCTGAAGAGCATTCATGAGGAGGTCCTTTTGGCAAACTAAGCACTGGTTGTCTTGCGTGCTGTGCTTCTTGTTGCCCCTAATCCAAAAATCTCGGTTTGCTCTGTAGGCAATATGAGAGCCTTGTTTGAAGACGTTGTCTGTCTGAAGAGTATTTAAGGTTTCCAATAAAATGTACACCCCTCAGAATTGGTCTATTTTTCTTGGTCCTGACAACATGACAAATACTGAATTTTAGAGTGGCCATAAGAAATAGTACAAAGTAGTCCACATATGTTTCAAATGGGGTCATCAGAAATGAAAAGCCATTGTCTTGATGGATAGCTGTAGGTCTTATGAAGGGTTCCCTGTAGAGGATGATAGGACCTCAGTAGTAGAGCCTCAGCTTTGGTCTTTTTATTTGTTGAGACAGATTGATTTTGAATATTCTATATATTATTCCTGCTTGGTTAAAAAGCAATAGGGCTATTTTTAGAAGAGCATATTGGGAAAAAATGGGTCTATAGAGAACTGCTATCCTAAGGCAAAACAAGGGTCAATCAGTGAATTGAATGAACCCAATTTAGGAAATGATGCTGCTTCTGAAGGATTAATAACCTGCAAAAATCTAGTCAAAAGGGCCCCCTCTGTCTTAACCTGGGCTTTTTTTTTCCATGCCCATCTCCCCCACCTTTTTTCAGAAAGTGTTGCTTACTACTGCCTGCTGATTTATATCTTGGGCAAGCCCAGAGTTGTGATTCCTTGAGGTAGTGCATGGTGTAAAAAAACAGGCCTTTCCTGACCTCTGCTGAGATCCTTTAGGAAAGCTGGGGAGATTGAATCTTACAAGGAGAAGCAATTTCCAGGGTTTGTGGGATTGTGCTTCTGAACTAAATGATGGAATTAGAGAATTTCCCCTTCATTTTAGCCACTAAAAGTGCAGGGTTAGAAGGAGTACTCAAAAGTACACCCATTTCAGTGTGAAACAAGTGCCTTACAGTGCAAAGTCCGTTTGGTGCCCTATTAAGTGTTCTTTCCTGAGCTAGGGCCATCTCCTACTGCCCTCTGGTGGTAGGACTGGAGACTGCAAGAACTCTGATCTCACCATTTTGAAATCCATAAAGGCCATTTGCTGGGATGTGGTTCTTAGCTAATGACTGTTTACAAACCAGCTGGGGCTTTTGTCCTGAGGAGGAGCCTGCATCTGTAGGCTCCACCCCTGAGGCATTCAAGTTGGGTCGAAGCAGGGCGGGGACAAACTGAGATCCCAATTCAGAGGCCCCTGGGGGCTGGAGGTTGGGGAGGGGCCTTGGGAAAGGTGCCAGGGGTGGAGTAGGGGCCTGTAAGTTTCCTCCCATCTGCCTATGACGTCCTTGGCACTAGTCTCTCCTGTGTCATGATCTGGACAGAAGGTGGAGCCCCTGAGCCGACTGTGCCTGGTCTTTTGCTCCCAGAAAAGCCTGGATTTGGGGAAATGCTGAGTTATGGGGGTGGGGGCATTTCCTCTAGGTCCTGACTCCAGTGGGTAAGAAGCTGGTGCAGAAAGGCCCCAAGATATGGGGTCAGCTCTTTCTGCTTTGTTTTCCCATGTTACCCAGATGCAGACCCGGTAACTGATCCTTAAGGTCGTTTGTATCCCTCCATCCCCTCCCCCACACGTTTACGTGTCTCAGCATTCATCGAGAATCTTCTTCCTCTCACTAGATGCAACTATTTATTTCCTTCCCCCTTTACCACTCTCTTCCACCACGCCTCTGGAGTGTCAACACAGATGTAACCTTCCTCCATATTTCTCCTGGTTCTGCCCTGTCCTCACCTCCTCCTCCCTCTCCACCCAGAGAAAGCCCCGCCCTTCCCTCCTCCCTCCCCACCCCAGTCTGTCACACAGGGACATCACCCTACAGCAGTTCAGGCTGTGGTTCGCAGGAAGCATACATTGGCTTTTTGATTCGTGCTAGTTCCCAGCTCACAGTTTAGGAGGATCTAACACCAGCCTTCACGTGAAGGGGGAACCAAGGACAGTGAGGAGCTGGGTGGTCCCAGCTTTGGAGCCCTGCCAGCTGGACATGGGTAAGTATGAGGACCGGCCCCCGGGGAAGGCCTGAAGGATGCCTACCTCCCTCCCTGGCTGACTCAGCAGGGGTGGGGCCTAACCTTTGCTCTTTTGGGGGGTGAAGAAGGGAAAACGGGTCTATAGGGGCACAGGGCTCAGGTGGTGAGTCTGCGGACCAAGGGATCAAGAGCACTGACAAGCTCCGGTTCCCAGGAAGAGCCTGAGACTCTGCACCTTAGGTGGGGGCTTCCCCCCCACCTCACCGTCCCACCCCTCGCCCCAACCCCTTGCTCCTCCCCGTTTAAGCTGCTGAGATTCAAGTAATATTTTACAGTATTCATTGCTAGCCTTCCCCCCAAAAGTAAAACCCACTTTTTGTTGCGTTGGAGGATTTTTAAGGTGCCTCTCCTCCCCTTATTTTCTCCCAGGCCTTTTAAGTCCCTGTCTTCTCTCCTCCCCCACCGCGACCCACCACCAGGTGGGGGCTGCACTGAGCAGCTGCTTCCTGTTGCCCCAGAGGTTGCTGCAAGGCTGGTGGTGGTTGGGGGAAAACTGAAATAAAGCCGATTCTCACGGTCCCACAGCAGTCCCACTAGGGTTGCTACTGGCGGACCCCAAGCTCCAGTCACTAACACTGAGTGAGAGGCAGGATTGAAGTTGAAAGGCCTAGGAGGTCTTCGCCCTCGTGGCTTCCTGATTCCAGAGGCTTTTAAACTTGAGTAGTGCTAGGGGAAGGAGGCTGTGCCTTTCCACAGCTGTAGGGAATGGGGCCTTGTGGAGCTGAAAACCAGGGAACCTGTTCACATAGCAGGGTCGCTGTGCGTTACCCCCAGCAGCCGCGGCCTTCCTCCGGCACCCCCACTCCTCCTTGGCGTCCTTGGGACTCTCTTTGTGAGGAGATCTTTGCCGGAGTCCCGAGAGCGCGGGCGGAGCTCTCTCCCAAGTCCTCCAGTTCGGACCCACCACCCTCCCCCACTTCACCAGAGAAGTTTGTCGTCTTCCTGGGATCTCTTCCTCCATCTGGGATCCTTCCTGGTTCTGGCCCCTAGGAGACGCCACCCGCTTCCCCCTCCCCCAGCGGATTCTTCGCGACCGCCTTACCCAAGCACTTGTCCCTACCCCAGTAGTTCCTGCCCCTTTAAGTGCTACCCCCCCACCCCCTCCAACACTCCGCCGGCGGCCCAGGGCTGGGGGAGGAGGCGCCGCCGCCACCCGGCTCGGGCCACCTGCGCCGCCGCCCGCGGCCCGGCCCTGCTCCAGGTGAGGCCCGGCACCCCCGCCCCGGACCAGAGTCCCCGGGCAGGGCCGCTCCTGTGGTCCCCTGCCCCGGGGATCCCCGCTGCCCGAGACTCAGGATCTGACTCTCCCCCTGCCGGAGCTGCCCTTCCTCTCTCCCCCGCACTATCTACTCGCCCATTTCTCCCCTGTCCTTTGCGACCGGAATCCGGAGGCTTCTCACTCCTCTCCGCCAACCTCTCCCGAGTACCCCTCCTATTCTAGACCCAGGATCTCCCCCTCCCCCACGCCTTCCTCGCCAGAAAAATCTCCCGCGGTCTGGGTTTCGCCTCCTCCCCTCTGGATCCAGAGCTTTCCCACGCCATCCTAACCTCCAATGGGAGGGGGAATAACCGCCACCCCAACTCCTCTCCCTTCCCCGTAGTAAGTGGGGGTTGGAGGTTTAGCATAGCCTATAGACACTTTCGGGCCTTGCTCTGCTTAGACCTTCAAGTTCAACTAAGCCCCATCTAAAGCTTCTCTGTAGCTCTCACGCCACCCCACCTCTCCTGGAGTTTGGGGGTCGGACCTCAGCACCCGCCGAGCAGCCCTGGTGGGAAGGGAAGGTCCCTCTTCTCGGACCTGGGGTGGGCCGGTCCAGCTTAGGAACACTCCTACTCCAGAGTCAGGGAATGGAGGGGGAGGGGGGCACACCCAGAATCTTGTGATTCTGGGCTTAAGGGTCTGTTGGGAGATAGTGGGTGAGGGGCTGGAACTCAGCCTCTAAAGGTGTTAGGGTGCTGGGAGAAGAGAGTGAATCTTAACCTTCTCTGCTCAGATGCAAAGGGAGTCCCCACTCCTGAGGGCTTTCTGCGCCCGCATCTAAGACTACCATGGAGAAGCTCATTGGGGAGTTTGAAACCGGTCTGTGGGTGAATGTGAGGGGGCACATACCAACTTGGAGAGAAGAGGATGAGGGTTTATGGTCCTTTTGATGTGTTATAGGAGAATCTAGCCTCCCCAAAATATGGAGGGGGAGGAGACTATTTTGCAGGAACCTGGAGAGGGAAGGGAGCAAGTTGGAATGGTTAGGGGGTTGGAGGGATATCTCCCTTCTAGACCCTATTAACACTATAATCCATTCAGCCAGGGAGGGCAGGGAAAATCTTTAATAATGACCTCACCTCTACTGGGGAATTCCCCCTCCCTCCAAGTCCAGCTGTGCCCCTAGAAAAGAGCCCCTTTTCTTCTTGTGCTTTCATCCTTCCCCTTCTCGATCCTCCACTCCAGAATGAGGGGACAGGGTGTCTGGATTTGTTTCAGACTCTGAGTCATGTTCCATGGCCTGGAAGAGAGCTGGGTGGAGGAGAGGGGTGGTCGGCTGTGGTGTTGGAGTTGAATTCCAGGAGTATCTGGAGGGGGAGAGGGAGGGAGAGTGGGAGGTAAAGGGATGCAAACGAATCCCCTTCTTTCTCCCTTTCTCTTTCTTCCCCCTCCCAGCCCCAGCCATCTGGCTTCAGAGTGGAGCCAGGCACTGTGGCAGCTGACCCCAGAGTCAGGGTGGTGCAGCAGAAACACAGGGAGGGTGAGAAAGGGGAAGCAGGTGCTAATTTCTCCCTTCTCATTTTCTTCATTATCCGCCCACTGACCTGGCTTGAGAGGTTCAGAGTATTCCCTAGATATCCTTCTCACAAGTGGCTGAAAAGATGACCATTTGCCCCTTCTTCCCCTTTCTAGTAGCTTCCTAAAGGGCGATGGGGTGGGTGATTGGCCACATCTGATGGGACTGAGGAATGTTTGGAGACATATGGGGTCAGTCTGCCCTCTGTCGTCTGGATGGGGGGAGAAGCACAGCTGCTGCCTGGGGTGGCTTCTGACTAGAAGTAAATACCCAGCTGTTGGGCATATTGACACCCTACCCTCATCCTTGCTCAAAGAACAAGCAAGATCTCTGGTTAGATGGGATGAGGAGGGGGTCTCCTTCAGGGAGAAAGGTAATTGAAGTCCTTCTGCACCAGATGGGAAGAACGGGTCCTGCCCCACTTTCATTTCTAATCCCAGGTGGCCCAGGTGGCCCTCCTATCCAACACCCCTCTTCCCTACCGCTCCTGGCTGGGATAGTCCTAGAGGTTGCCCTGGAGACTAGGCCTTGGGCTCGGAAGGGGTGGGGGCAGTCAGTGGGGCACAGGAGTAACCGGCTCTTCCGGAGCGTAGTGGAGCCAGCGGGTGGGTGTGTGTGGGTGTGTGGTGGTGGGGGAAGGGGCGTGGCTACACCCGTCTGACGGGCGCAGGCTCCTCCCCTGCCTCCCGTCTCTGACTGGCCAGCTCTACGATTGGGGGCGGGAGGGAGGAAGATTATCCCTCATCTGCCCTGGAAAAGGGAAGAGAAAAAAGAGATACTAGCTCTCTTCCCTGGCCCTTTAGGAAGCCACTTTCAATCCCTGAGCTCTCTTCATCTGCCTTTATTATTTTTTATTTTGGAGAAGGTGGGGAATTCCTTAGCTGAAGTTTACTCGATCCCTGCTTTCTCCAGAAGGAAGGACCCCTATCCCCTGAGTGTGGCCCCCACTTAACTCAGAAACTTAAGGTCAGTAGGCTGTTAGGGTCTTTATTTTTTTCTCAGTGGTGACCTATAGATCTGTTACTTAGGGAGGAGAGAAGGGTTTTGATTTATACCTGTCTACTCCTTCCCCTGGTAATCTACTTTTCTCAGGAACGGGAGAGAAACCCTTCTAACCCTCTTAGCCTCTTCCTTCTGGCCCACACACTTTAAGGCTTTCTGAAGCTCGCTTCTTAGCTTCTCTGAACCATTTGTAGCGGGGAGTAGAGTCTGTTCGCCAAATTGAGGAAGAGCCCACTCCTCTGTGGAGTAAGGAAATCCAATCCAGACTGATGTATTTGGCCCTGCCTTGCCCTATCCCCATCCAGTTTTCAGATTTTCTTCCTCTCCAGACCCCCAAAGGGAACGGTGTTTGTTGACCCTTCAACCTGCCAGTTTCATTATCCACACTCTGTTCCTCTTCCAGAATATTCAGCCTGAGTTTTGCAATTGTTTGTAGAACTGCATCGCATTGAATAGGAATTATCTTGAAGCCTGCAAAGTCTGTTGAGTTACAGACCTGGTTTCTAGTCACATTTTGTCCACTGTTTGACCTTGAACGAGTCTGTTAACCTCTCTGGGCCTTAATTTCTTCATCTGCCAAACCAGAGCAGGTTGAGCCAGAAATTTTCTAAATTCTAACATTATATATATAGACACTGTTTTCCATCGTGAGGCCCCACAATAGACATTTTAGATGAGAGCCAAACTCTAGTCCTCTGCTAGTTTTTTCTTTCCTGTTCTCAGATTTCACACAGTCATTTAGCCCTATCAAAAAAAGTATTGGGGTTATAGAATAGGTGGACATTTGGGACATCTTATTTGCTGTGTCAGTTTTCCGGCTAATTCCCTGCCACTCTGACCAGGTGTAGGCTAGACTCAGGTCTTCCTTGTCCGGTTCCAGAGCCGAGCTTCCTTTTCCTATGCACAGGAATCTTCCCAACCCCCAGAATCCTGCAGATGTCGCTGGGAAAGTGGTGATCCAGCAGGACGAGGCTTCCCCCACGGGACAGAGGTGAGTGGGCAGCAGATGCTGCAGGCCCTTGCCTTTCTCCACCCCTTTTCGGGACTGAACTTTCCTGACTAACCCTTCCACTTCCACACTTCCACTTTCCAACTACCCAGCCTGGGAAATAACTGCCCTTGAAATTTTCACCTCCACCTCTACCCCCACCCCTGTTAGGGGAATGGCAGATGCCTTGGTCCTAAAATTTTGGTCTAGTCTTTTAGGGTAACCTTTGGGATCATGGCACGCCTTTCAGTTTGCTCAGTGTGAAACAGGACTACCGCCCACAATGAGACTAGGCAGAGGGAGCTGTTGGGTAGGCTAGGGGACACCGCGGCGCTAGGACCCAGATCCGGGTCGGGCGACCGAAGATGCCCGGCGCTAGGACCCGGTGGTGGAGGCTGAGGAGGGCGGCTCTCTCTCGGCCGCAGCTTCCCCGCCCCCTCCGGCTTCGGCTCACTCCTCCCCCGCCGGCCATGTTGGCTCCGCTCGGGCCCCGCGGTTGAGCCGCGTCCCCCTCCCCCTTCCCGGACCCCAGACCCCCTCCCCCGCGGTTCCCCTCCCCTCCTGGCGTCCGGAGCGCGGCCATGTGAACCACCCGTCCCCCGGGGAGAGACAAGCCCCGAGCCGGGCTGGACGCCGCCGCCTCAGGTCTGTTGGGTCTGTGGCTGGGGGCCTGCGGGGAGGGAGCCCCGCTTTCATCCGAGGCTTCCCTCAGGGAACAGAGGCTCCGTGCTGCCAGGAGCCTCGCCTTGGGCGAGAAGCTGACTCGAGCTTATATCCTGTTAGGACCCAGCCTGGGACGGGGGTCTCCCTGCCCAAGGGGCTGAGAGGAGAAGGGGGCTGGAGGGTCTGCTGAAGACCCGGGCTGGGGCGGCGGGGGCGGGAGGAGCTGTGGAGGCTCCCGGCGACGACGGCGGCGGCGGCGGCGACGACGACGACGACGACGACGACGACGAGGAGGCGGAGAAGCCGCCTGGCTGGTGATGACTCCTGTGGGGGACTCGGATGGAATCCCCGGGAGGGGCTCCACCTCCTCGGGTGGGGGTGGGGACTGCCCGAGTGCGAAGGGTGGGTGAGGGGGTTCCCTGGGCGGTTTAAACACTCCGTTTGTGGGGATTGGGGCGATTTGGCAGTGGCGAGTAGAGGGTAGAAAGGGTTTCCAGGGGTCTCAGGGTGTCTCCCTCGGTGAGGGGTGCACGTTCTCTTGAGCGTGGCGAGCAGGAGAGGGCCTTGCTGGAGCGGTGCTGTGCGTAGCTTGGGGCCCTCGAGGGGCTCGGGAGTCTCCCACTCCAGGGAGGGGGTTGATTGGGCTGATGCTGACTCCTCTGGGGGACTGGGCTTTTAGGGGCTGAAGGGAAGAATAAAGAGGGATCCCCTGCAAGGGGATCCCTCACTAAGGGGATCCCCATTTCCGTGGCGGAAAGGATGATCCGGTATCATCCCTTTCTTTCCTAATGTTCCCAGTTTTCAGAGGAAAGGCAATGCCAATAGCAGACATCCTTTGTAGGATTTATTGGAGTGCGAGATTTGCATCCTTCGGGGGGCGATGGGGGGGGTAGCTTCCACCTCCATCTGTACACAAACAGCCCTTCCCCCAAGCCTCCTGCAGGAAGTGGCCGGGAAATGGCAGCTGTGCGTTTGCTGCTGCGTCTCTTGTTGTTTTGAAATGTCCATTTTAATCAGATTTGGTTTCATTTTCTGAGGCCTTCTGGGCAAGCTTGGATCCTGCCAACCATGTGGTCTTGGGAGTCCTTTCGTTCGACTTTTTTTTTTTTTTTTTGTAAACTTCATTTGTCAACTGGAAGTGTAGTCACTGCAGTTGACTCACTGAATCCCCATCTACCAAGCCCCTCCTCCCACTCCAGAGCATCTCTGCCTCCCCGTCTGGATTTTTTTTTTTTTTCCTTGAGCTAGAGGTCATAGAGAAGCAAACTCAGTCATCAACCAGCCCCGCTGTACTTTGAATACTAGTGATGCAAAATCTCTGAGCAAAGAGAGCCGCCAGGAAGACTTGGGCTCTTTTGTGGCATGAGAGTGACTTTTTAGGGTCCTGCTTAATATACTCTTTAAGTGTATAACTCTGTATTGCAGAGCACCTTGTCAAGTGAGCTTGTGAGATGAAGAAGGGTAGATTCTGAGAAGTGGAAGAAGAGGGAATGGAATTTATGTGTTGGGGTAGGAACTGATTTGCAGAGTGAAGGTGATGGGCTTATTCCTCACTGGTGATTCTAGCCTAAGGATAGTCCCTGTGGGAAGCCTGTTAGTTGATGTAGGGTGCTGGAGGGTTTACCTTCTGCAGAACCAGCTGATGAGAGTTAGCTGTCATGTGACTTACTCTTCAATCCATAAAAGACATCTTCTCATTACCCTTCTTGGAGAGTGGTGAGCTTTTTTTCCTCTATTCTGCACAGAGTCATGTGTTCAGATTGTCCTTTTCTCCCACCTGATAACTGCAGAAGATTTCTACTATAGCATATAGTGATAGACTGTTTGTACTGTGTCCCCAGGCACTTTGTTAGACACTGGGTTTGGTTAGAGGAGTTGGCGACAGGATTTTATATTTTGAGAAGTGACATATTGAGATCATTTGGACTATCCTAAAAACTGCTTGCTTAAGGCTGGCATTTTTATCTTTTCAGTATTTTCCAGTCGCAAACCTCCCACCTGAATTGTAGATTCCTAGATTAGAGGTCCAGATAGGAATAGTTGGATATATTATTATGTGACAGCAGCATCATCACAGTTAAGATAGCATTGTTGCTGTTTTCACTGGAGCTGTTGGGGTTGATATTATGGAAGTAATAAAAACAAGTCCAATGTCATTGTCTTTTTTCTTGTCTCTGCTTGATTGGTTGGTTCTTTTGAGTTGTTTTCTGATAGGGTTGATTTGACACTGATTTTAAGTTCCCCTTTCTTCAACCTTTGTTTACTAAGTTGGGACCTGACAGAATAGTAAATTGATTTTCCCTGTTGAGGGTTAAGAAAAGTGAAGGCAGGGGCGCCTGGGTGGCTCAGTCGTTAAGCGTCTGCCTTCGGCTCAGGTCATGATTCCAGGTCCTGGGATCGAGCCCCGCATCGGGCTCCCTGCTCCGCAGGAAGCCTGCTTCTCCCTCTCCCACTCCCCCTGCTTGTGTTCCCTCTTCGCTGTCTCTCTCTCTGTCAAATAAATAAATAAAATCTTTAAAAAAAAAAAAAAGTGAAGGCAGGAAAAAGACCACTCTAAAGGAAATAGAAGTTGATTTTGAGAAACTTGATTTTGATTCATTTGGTACATGATTAATCAGAAAGCTGAATGAAGCAAACTTTTCCATGTCCTTCTTGTAAAATGGATGCATTTTTCTATCAGAGCAGTGGATTTCTTAGTATTGAGTGTTTTGTTTTTGTTTCCTTCATAAAGGAAATAATTTTGAGGTATAGAGAGAACTAGGTGGGTTGACCTCAGAGCCAGTCAGAAATCTAGAATGCCCTGAGAGGCTCATCTTGCAGTCTTGTGGTTCTGGAATCAGGTGTTGCCAAGAGAGAAGCAAAGTTTGTTAGGGTGACTGTGTCTTGCTGCCATTGACCTTTCTGATTACCTCTGAAGAGGTTTGCTATATTATATTCTTTTATTGTTAAATCGTGTAGAAGTTAGTCCAATAATTGGTATGATGTTTGACCTTGTTTCTGATGTGTACAGTAAGGCAATAATGCCAAAGTTTTTATGTCTTAGGACATAGAGTGAAGTATAAAACTCAGGAGGTATTTCCTGGGGCAGATAGTCTTCCTAATTTGTTTCTTGAGATATGGATGTCTTCATATTCCCCATAGCCCAAGAATAATACTTTATCAGCATAGTGGCATATGGGTCAGAGGACTTTATTAAAATAATCTCTACACCCAACATGGGGTTTGAACTCAGGAGCCGGAGATCAAGAGTTGCATGCTCTACTGAGCTAGCCAGGTGCCTCCAGAAGGACTTTTTTTTTTTTTAACCAGCTTGTTGGTCCGTATCATTTTGAAATTTATGAAATTCTGCACAATAGAAAACCTATCTTTGATGAGCTCTGGAGATTGTTCTTAGATTGGGTCACTGGCAGTAAAAGTAGCATTGTGTTAATATGTTAATTAGTGTTTTGTCCTTCTAGTTACAGAGAATAATTAAGAGGGCATTTTACAAACTAAAAGGATAATCTAACCTTACCAAAAATTGATCAAAAAACTAAGACATGAGGGTTCTTAAGAGAAAGGTGGTCTCACTACTTTTGGTCTACTTGGGTTGAACTCTCCATGACCTGTCTCACTAAATGGGATTCTTAACCCGCTTGCTCAGCTCAGGGTTTTTTTTGGGTGGGGGGGCGGGGGGAGGTGGGATATCTTCTTGAAGGAAAGGGTTGAGTCCTTAACTGTTAGAACTGAAATTCTGAGAAACAATTAGGGCTGAACGAGGGAAATAACCTTGTTACAACCTCTGGAATGTGGCTTTTACTGTCCTGTAATTTCAGAGGCATTTCCATTCCTCTGACAGTGAAGTGACTAGTGAGAACTGTGGCAGAAAACCTAATCTAGATCATCATATATCCTTTATTCAGTCAACACATATTTTAAAACCTACTGTGTACCTTAAGCGTTCAGTTAAATCAAGCAAAACATTTTACTAATTTAGAGCTCAAATTTACTGCCCCTTACATTCTCAGTACTTCTCTGTTTCTAGGCGTTGTTTTCTGTAGGGGACAACTGTCTAAAATATGTCAAGATTTGGGGCCTCTCTTCCCTCTAGAAATTGTTACCTCTGTGAAGAATGAAGCTGAATTTTTGGGTTCTCTGAGCAAAAGCCACAACTTTTATTGGATGAGTAAGCTGGCAGTGGCAGAAAAGATAGATTTACTCATTCATTTGTCTAGGTATTTCCTTCGGTTCTTTTATGTACTTAGCCCTAAATTAGGTGCTGAACATATAATGGTACAACATAATATCCAATTGATGCTGTAGAACCTACACAGTTTGGAAGAAGTAAGAATGGAGAACAA